TCCGCTCAGTAATTCGTGCTGTAACCACTGGAGCCATCTTGCTAGGGGGCTGCGAAGATTCAGGGGATGAATAGGGCTTTCACTGCAGGCAACAGCCTCATTACATCTTATTCGACCAGCCGATCGAAAGAAGACGAGTGTCAGCCAAACGGTATGCGAAAAAGAAGTAATGGCAATTCGCTCACAAAATCGTCGTGTTGAGCGATGGGCTGAGCATTTCAAAGAGCGATTTAGCTGATCTCTTTCAACACCGCTGAAGAACCCAACGGAACATCGACAGCAACCCACCGTCAACAACAAAAATCCAGTGTAAGATATCAATGTTCTAACGCGACTCTAACGCCCGGATGGTGTGCACTCTTCAAAAAGGATAGGAAAGTTTTGGTGAGCAGTCCGATGACCATACTTCAGTTTGTCTATCAAGCCCAGAGTTTACAATGCGGCAGTGCTATCTATACTGCATTTCGAATCAGATACGTGGCCCCTACTCTCAGAGGATGTCAGGGTTTAACCATCGGTGTCTTCGAAACATTGGTCGATGTGAACATCGGATCAGTAATGCTAGGTTACGTGAGATGGTCCTAGGAAAAAGGAACTCTCTCGCGATGGTTAAATGACTCACACTCCATGGGTTGCGCTAGTTAGGACATGTACTCCGCATTCCAGAAGACTGCCTGCCTCGCAGAGCTCCTTTCACACAGCCCTGTACTGAGTGAAGGCGATCAAGTGTTAGATACTGTGACCTGGTGACGAAGTATGGAAACACTAACCAGTAAACTGAGTCGGGTCGACAACTAACACTCTCTGGATGGGGACCCAGGACCCAGGACCACAATACTTGATGACACTGGTAAGAATCACCCAATCGCTCGCGCTTCAAAGCTATCAGCTTCAGTGCGCAGCTGTCCGATTCCCGGGATAACCCAACATACCATCACCTCCAGTGCTTGGCTGTACGTCCCACACTCTGTTACCTTCGGTGTTCGAAACCGTAGCAGCTAGAACCAAATACCTATCGTACACGGTTTATATTTGACAAATTGATCAGTTGATATTTTATAAAGTCACCCCTCACTGGTGGATAAGTTTACCGGTTCGATTCACCGGGAACTTACCGTTGTTCATGACTGAATCAGTAGTCACAGTATGCTTCTGCATTTGCTCTTTAAATTGTATCTTTCGTTGCAGACCTAATAATCATTGGACATTAGGTACTGGAGGCTGCGTCGTCTCTATAATGAGACGCCGTGCTGATCGTGAACCTTCGCCAACTTCAAAGCGATCACGCGACCGTAGCTCGTACACGGAACACGGCAGGACGGTATCGCCTCGACGGCCACGAGATGAACGTTATGCTTCATCCTCTTATTCCCGAGGTAGTCAACGCTCATCGGATGGACGACGTAGTGGTGAACATCGATGTAGGGAAGGAACACCAAATGACTTCCGGACTCTTTACGTTAGGAAGTTTTCCTCAAAATTAAGTTTCGACACGCTACAAGAAATGTTGTTTCGTGAGTTCGAGAAATTCGGTGATATGTCAATAAGTGTTGGACACTTGGATGGAGAACGAGCAGCTCTGATTACTTTTAAGTAAGTGGTTATAATGCGGTTCTTTGCTTTTAGTTTGGTAGCGTCATAAAACATAGCTTGTCCCGTATAAATAAGGTCCCCACGAAGGATACAAGATCAGTTGAGGATTTTTTCGAAGCTTGGAGATTTTTCGGGGTTATTAGTCGTCTAAGGTGAACCACGCACTTAGTCCAACGAAGAATTGTGCCTTGAGACAGGTCACTGTTTAGGGTTTGAACTGGTTGCCTGGAACATCCATGGTTCGAACCCAATCTCTGCATCTCGACTGCTCCTGTCTAGGCTTTTGCAACCTGGCAGTATCTCGGCCCTCGTGCTTTCTTTGGGTAGCATGACAGCTGTGCACCAAGAGAGTGTTACAGCCAAACGATTATTCTTACTATTATTATAAGAGGACAAAATTAATTAGCTTTATGCACACGTGGCTAGGTTCACCGTGTATACGATTTTCACGCCAGGAGTGAACATATCAAATGATTGACCAATACTCTTTTCTTTTGGAAGGAAGTTTACGACTGGTGTACACTTCACGAGCCTACCAGAGTTCGTTCCCCCGGAAGTCGGGAACCTAAAATCTCTTAACCATAATTGCACGCTCCGACGAAAACCAGCCGTCACCTGTCATGCACTCATAACTTTGCAGACCTGTGATACTTAATACTCCTTCATCGGACAGTCCACTTACGACGGACATCACCTACCACAAGCGACCACTTTCGCTCGATTTTTCGAAGATTATTTCAGCGGTTATAAACCTCTCAGAAATTGCTGCTTTCCTTGAGCTAAAATTCCCAGAGCGTGAAAAAAGGCTAATAGGTTTCAACTGACCTTAAATCAGTACTACATGACCCAAAAGTGCCACGTTTTATACAGATTTATAAACCCGCTCTGTACGGAATACATACTAATGGCAAACGAGGTGGATGATTGTGACAGTAAGATTAGGCTTGGGCGCATCCTGTTTCGGAGCTCCTATGACTCCGCGTAAAAATTCACCAGCACTCCTATAGTCATATGGACGGGTCACAATAGTTTTGTACGCCAGTCTGTGTTGGAGGGTGCGCACCGAAAATGTATCCAAGAGTTTACTGCAAGCGAGTGTAACCGAATGACATCGGATAAATGCCGCATGAGAACAATAAAATTTCATTTATATTGAAACGACACCTACAGACTTTTTTGGCCTAAGTGGCGTTTGTGACGTACTGGCTTCCCAACTTTCACAACGGTGACAGTGTTCGTGGATATGAAAGGTTTTTATGGTGGAATATTTTCCATGTTGCAGATATCATAAAGCAGGATGGTAAGATTAATTTCAGTGTTTCTCTGCATTTCTGTCGAAATTTTCGGCACATGCATCATTATTTATTCCCGGTCAAAAAGTCTGTCTCCCCACCACGTGCAGTTGGACCGTCCTCCATAAGTAGTCTCCGTTCGGAAGGAGTCCGAAACATTTAAACAAATTAAAATGTATCTGTATTCGATCAAGTCATTGATGTTTGTGAGCTAAATACTGCATGTCCAATGAAGGTTTTCCGTGTTACTTCGATTTATTTCTATATTAATAGCTCTTTCAATCACGAATTTTCACCCTATGATGCTCACTTTTCGCTTCTTGAAACTTGTTTTAATTCCGCTTAGGGGTTTGGTTGCTACACCCGGAACGTAAAAATTTCACTTTCGAACGACGTCACTTCCGTTCATCTGTGGGATGGAGAGTACAGTGACAGCACCATATTGTCCCACTACGGACGCATTGTTCTTTATCACGGTAGTTGACCGAGGATCTTAGTCCACAGAAAACATGACCAGTATATAGCTGGTTGCTGTTTCCATTTACCGAAGCAGTGGCTGAGTAAACAAGCATTGCCATTGAAAACTGCACTCAGTCTACCGGCACTGGTTACTGCGTTATCGCGCAAAGGAGCTGGTGGAAATCGCAACAAGACATTATATTTGGAATCAGCTGACTGGCACAACCTTTGGAATTTGTGGCATTGTCCGGATAGAACAGCGGTTAAGTTGTTTAGATTGCACCTGTGGACGTTGATGATGTTGGTGCTGTGTTGCAGCTCATTATGGGATATTCGGAGTTTGTTACTTTCTCAAGCTGCATTACCCCTGTGAAATTTTTGGACCTACTCCTTCCACAAAGTTTCATCGTGCTCGTATGAGCTCGGAGATATTGAGACAGTCTCTGGAATACAATTTTATGCTTTGGTCCTTGACCAAACTGCATCATAAGGACTACTAAGGTGTCACCAGGGTCAACTTCACCAATCCTCATAATTTCAAGATGTTTAGATATCTATGAGTGCTTTCTACCTTCTAGTGGGGCTGCTGCCATGCCACCCAAAGAAAGCACGAGGTCTGGGATACTGTCAGGTTGCCCGGGCCTACACAGGGGAAGTCGAGAGGCAGAGGTCGGGTTCGAACCACAGACCGTCGCGCTCTAACCACTTGATCCATCTCGCCCCGGTCCTCTGCGGACTTTGTACTTATCGAGAACCAAAGCTGTTCATTCCATTGTGCAAATTTGTGAACTTCGTGAAGGGCGCCTTTCACTCATTTTTGCAACCGTATCCTTTTTACGGTGAAAGATAAACTCTTGACTTTGGTTTTGACGATATTTTTACTTCTACAACTGGATTTCTCTCACGTAGGATGTGATTGGATGCCAATTAGCCATACCGCAGAGATTTTTTGCCCCAATGAGGGAACTATTTGGGCAGGCACATCGGGATTCCGTACGTCGCTTCGTCTCGCCAGCCAAAATCCTTTTTTTAACCACCCACCATTGCACGTATCACGCAACTCGTCCTTGAATACGTTTCTCTTGTCACAATTTTTTTTGGCCCGTTCTGATATAATGTCTTACACTGCATTTGTAGATACAGTGAAGATGCACAAGAAGCGTACTATGCGAAGCCCACTGTCTACCTGAGCGATCGGTCCGTACCGGTGGAAATACTTCCGGAGACGATAGTGGAGGAAGATCCGCGTAACGTCGTAACAAAGAACCCACGTAACACGAGGCGACATGGCGACCAAGAAGACACGGGGGAGTCAGCGTTTGATCGCCCGCGCAGTGTTGCCCCTAAGATGGACCATAAGTTCGTAGAGATGTTAGCAAAGACTGCATCGGTCATTCCACCTGGGTCGACGAGTCTTCTAGGGATGCCTGGAATCACCTCGTCAGCTATGGTTGCTGCAGCTGCCAGAGCTTTGGGTTTGGGAGCTCCACCAGGCTCCTTGGCACCACCAATACCTCCAATGCTACCGACCATACCCCACAATCGTCACACTCCGGCCACGGGACCTCGAGGTCTGTCTCCCGGGTCTGACCCAGACGAGGAACTTAAGGCTACCAGAACCCTCTTCGTTGGCAGTCTAGAGGCAGATATTACAGAGACCGAAGTACTACAAGCATTCGAGCGCTTCGGAAACATCGAGCAAATTGACGTGAAACGTGCTGCCAAACCCGGCGCACACTCATACGCATTTGTACGCTTTGAGGATGTTGACATGGCCTGCCGTGCCCGCGCGTTAATCAACGGTCGTCGCGTGCGTTCCTTCCACTGTAAAATTGGATTCGGGAAGGCTATTCCTTCCCAGTGTTTGCATATTAGCGGACTTGGCCCGTGGATTTCACCCGAAACTTTCCACCAATTGCTATCGCGTTTCGGTCAAGTAACTCAGCTAGACTGGCCGCCCGACAGGCGATACGCACGCGTTATGTTTGAGACCTGTGAGTCTGCATGCAATGCTAATAACCAACTTAAGGGTCTACTAGTCGGCGATCGCAAAGGTGGCAGACTTCGGTCCGACTTCATCAACCCAGAGGCGATGCGATTTGGGCGCAACAAAGGACCATCCTCTTTACAAGCATTGCTGGAGGGGAACACATCCAACCATCCATCCGAATTCCGCGGGAGCGGACTTCCAGGGCAACCTTTGATGGATTCTACAAGAACCAACATCAGAATTACATCGTTTCGACCAGCAGATCAGCAATTCAAATATACTAGCCTTCATGGGATTACCGACGAGCAACCTGGCGACGATAACTGGCATTCTATACATGGTGGAAGACAAAGCGGGCATCGCCGTCACACGTTCACGCGGAGTACCCCTCGTTTCCAGGCTGCCGATGGGACAAGAGACTCCGCCGAGAAACCACCCATTACTCTGCAAGATGTTGTGACTTTGAGAGATTTGGATGACTGCCTTCAACCGGATATTTGGAGGGGTGAAATCCTTTTGAAGACCAACGGGTTTTTCTTCCGTTGCCTTCATGTTATCGGGGATGCCGAAGTTGGGTCTCAGCTGGGGAAATCCTCAACCCTAAAACCTGATGAGGACGATATTCTGCATCCAACGCTTCGAGTTCAGAAGCGCGGTTCATTAGATCCAACTTGGATGGCTGAGGCCACACACCGTATACATGACGTTCTGTCTAACTACCACCGCGGTTTATGTCTGCTACTTATGCTGCCTGACCATGAACAAAGTGCTTCCGATCTTGCAGAACATGCTTGTGGAATCGAGAAGACTGTGGCCAAATCCCCATCTTCATCAGCTGGTCGTCACTTTCCTCTCGCAACTCTCATAGCCTACATGAAGCTGAAGCAAGCTGTCGGTGTTGTTGTTCCTGTGAAACCATTGAATCAGTGCGATGAGGAAAACAGAGCTGCCACAAACGAGGAGACCAACACTAACACCTCGTCCTCTCCGGGAGAAGACAACCTACCACTTTCAGTACATTTATTCGCTCCAAGCAGCTTTGCTCTTAGTCTTCTTAAACAGGCCGCACCAAGACTGAGTTCAGAACTAGCTACCGCCGATAGCTACATGGTTTTGTTGGCTATTAGACGGTAAGTACGATCACCCTCCAAAACTTCCCCTGTACATTCTCGTACCTAACTTTTGTCTGACCAGATATTCTTGTTCTCACTTCAACAAACAATGGGAATTAGAGCAAACTGTATAAAGAAGGAAATCAATAATATTCATATTTCGGTCAGGGGAAATCCGTTTTTTAAAAAAGTCATCGAAATTATGAGGTTATCACCAGAGCAAGAATATGTGGTCTCGTGAAGTTTATCGCCATATTTTGATCACACCGTCCATAGAAGCAGAGACAAGGAGGTAATGTGAAGTCCGGATGAGACTGAGGTCGGAAATAATGTTTCTGTGCCCGACTGAAGGCATGTATTGTTCCAGCCGACCCTCTGTAGGGAATCCACTCCCATTCGATCTGGTAATGTCAGCTTCCGCAGAGTCTGCTGTCGATTTTGCCAAGTCACTCCGTGACATGGTAGGTCGTCTAACTTCCAACAACCTAGCAGGGCGAGAATCCGGCCGTTCTGTGGTCGCCATTAGGTTCCCACTGTCATCAGTTTTCTCTTGGATTGTTCTGACACCGTGGTCAACCACTTCGCTGTATTGGAAAGGGACGAGCGTTTTACGGTTAATTACGCGAGGTTATGAGAGTGTGACGGTGTTTCACATAGTTTATATAAGTTATCTGTTAGTACTGCAGTTTCAGACATGTCATATTCATCGTATAAATGCCTCGTAATTCATAAGAAGCTTGAGTCACCTCGGACCACACTAGATAAAATAATCGTTCTGTTGTAACACCCTTACAGTGCCTAGCTGCCAGGCCATCCGATTGAAGCACGAGGACTGGGATACTGCTAGGTTGCCCAAGCCTTGATTGGGCAAGTTGAGATACGGAGGCCAGGCACTAAACACGGACCTTCCGGTCAGTAAATTCGCGCTCTAACCACTGAGCCATCTCATTCCAGAAGAAAGCACTGGGTAGGTCTTGATCGGATTAGAGTTCATTGTTTCAGATAAGGGCATACTTGGTAATGTGGTGGAATATTGGTAGCTCGGGTGAGTTTATTGGTTGTTGATCAGGTGGCTGTTGATCTGTTCGCCGAGCTTGGCAATTAGCTTGCAAACGTTTCGTCAACATACGAGGAGACATCATCAGTCCGCAGTTGGATGGGTAGTTCTTCCTTGCCTGCGTGTGTTTATATAGCAAAGGCTATCTGTTATCTTCTGACGTGATTGGCTACTTGAAGTGTAACGAATTTAGTGAATCTATTGATCCATTTGTGATCTTTGTTGCATTGTGGTCTGTGTTCCTTTGTGTTGATTGTTGGGACGAAACGTTTGCAAGCCAATTGCCAGGCTCAGCGAACAGATCAACAGCCACCTGATCAACAACCAATAAGGGTATACTGTTTACCATCAGAGGTAATTAAGGGCCATCTGTGCTCGGTTCTAGTATACAGCCCGGTGAATTCCGACAAGGCAGTGTAAATGACAAACCCCTCGAGTTAAGTTGTAGCAACGTTGCTCTCTCTTTATAGGTTCCGCCACAGATTTAGACAATTCCGTTGCGTTTTCATTGTCATCTACAGCAATGCATAAGTAGTAATTATCAGCACCGGATCGTCATTAAAAATGGCGAAAGAATGCCGTGGTAGAATGAAGAAAACATGTTTAGAAAGGTCTGTGGAGTCCAGGTTGTGGAGAAATTCTCTAGAAACGTGATCAATTTGGAGCACTAAACGACGGACAGATTCCCGATAAATTTAGTGGGACACAAGACTTGGGAGCATAGGGTCGTTGTTCAACGGGGACTCAACTGAAAAGCATTGCTTATCACATCCACGAGACAACAAGTCGTAATCCTCGCCAACAGCCGTTAAAAGGGACACCGTCACGCTAATGGCATTAAAACGTGGGTTTGTAGTTACTTGGGAAGAAACCAAAGGCTAACGGCATATAATGCCTTTGGTAGTGAGAGTCTTGTTTAGCGTGTGTGAACGGTGCTTATAGAGAGGTTAGAAACAACTCCGCTACCGTAACAACTACAAACACTTATCGGCTCGTGACCAACTCTAAAGCATTTCATCTCTTGGCTACGCAAGCGGTAATTTACCGAAGGGTTCGATCTCAAATGGGAATACAGATATGGAAACCGAATTTACCTGTATGAGATTCGATTACCAATGGGAGCCTCTCCCGCAGAGTGGGCGAAAATTCTGGAGTTGGATGCCTTGGAGAAGTTCCAAAGGCGTATTCGCCCGTCGTCACCCCCGGAGACGATAGTCGGCCAACCGGATCCTTGGTTTGCTGTTTGTGAGTTCGGCTGAGGGAGGCACAGGACTGAACGCACTGGAGAGTAATCCAGGGTTGTGGCTGGCCTGGCCCAGGAAGCTGCGACGAGACCACCGTTAACAACAGGCCTGTGTGTTTGAGGTGCCATCAGAGTCCTCTCGGTAGCTGCGGCAGATGAGGCAGAAGCACAGGCCTCCAAGTCCCAGATCGTGACGCCATTATTCCGATCTGAACTGGCCACAATCTACACAGGAGAAATTCCGGGTTTTATGACCTGGTACCTATTGTTTATCGACAAGTTAGAAAATGCCTGTTCAGCTGTGATACAGCTGCAGTGTGACATGCGTAAAACAAGAGGGATGAAATTGCTCCGGACGCAGACGGGAGTGACTGGGAATTTTCAGCCAAGGATGTCGGCGGCACGTTGGTCACGCCTTTTGTACAGGGTATGCACACGGAGAAAACTTGGGCTCCCCCCTATGGGGCAGCAGTCCTGGTTCTTGATTAGCCGCTCCAGAAACATTCAATTTTCTGAAACATTTTTAAGTCAAATTAGGGCTATGTCCCTATCGAAAAATGTCTGGATATTCCCTTCATCGGTGATAGATCAAGCCATAAATCCCTGAAAGCACAGCCTGGTTTCTCGCACATGACGTGTCGAAACATGAGTTGTAATTAACAACTTCACCAAGCACCAATCGACCGTTAACCGACTGACTTCGACATCAGCGTTACGGAGCGTGGAGTCGGATCATCACTTCGGCGGTTTCTATTCATTGGTGTACTACCAAGCCCGTATGTGACTGTACTGAGACCCCAATTAAAAATATAGATGGACCAAATACTCTCCGTTAGCCACAACTCAAATTGTATTCCCATAGAAGAGTTGCCACCCGCAGAAGGAAAGGATAGCTAATGTATATTCCATAAAAAAGAGCGAGTAAAAATAACTGTAACATAGATTAATTCAGTTTTTTAACACCTGGAAACAGTTCTGCAAAATGACCTCAGGCCAACTATGTATTGCATCTCACATATTCTACCGGTAGATCACAGCATTCGGAACAGTACAGATATTGGGGTATTATGAAGTAGGAATCAACAGGTAAGAATATCAAGTATCCTCTTCATGTACGTTTAACGTTGGAGCGCCTCATGTACCCAGATTTTAAGCAATAGATTGCATGACCTTTGACGCCACAAGATTCCTATCCAATATAAGCAGTAGGTGAATGAGCTTACCACTTGAAAATGCAATATGTAGTTGATAGCATGAACAGCGTGCGTGTGAGTCGCTAGCGATGGTTTAGTCGTCGAATTTCGAACTACCGAAGCATCCGGGGATGGGGTTAGAAAGTGTGGTAAGCCGATCAAGCCATAAGGTCTCAACGGTTATACCACAACCAAGATCGAACAAACACACGCACCGCTTCTTTTTCTAACTACAATTTTCCTCGAATCTCTTTCCCAACGCTTGTTTCTTCGAATCCAAAAAATTCTTGGGAGGTGATTGTGAAAATTCCTGAGAACACTTGATGGCTTTCCAAGAAGTAAGACTGAAATTTACGATAAATGCCGGCTACAGGTGAGTGCAACCGTAAAAAATAATAGAACTTTGTGTGTACTAAAGTGTAACTTACAAGAGTTCGTCTCCGACCTACATCCTCACCAAGGTGGAAACCACGTCTAAGTTGAGATGTAACAGTCTCCGCTAAATTGAGCTTCAGGATGGCTGAGTGGCCTTGTTGCTGGCGCTGAGGATTGGAATGCTGATGCTGTACACAGGCGACGGGCCGCTCGTATCGTAAGTCCCAGCTGACTAGCTGGTTCCGCGAGGTACCAGTCACCAACCACGTGTGACAACTGTGCATCACCAGCGATCTAATAAGGCCTACATAGAGGAAGGGAATAAACACGGAAAACATGAGCAAGAGATGTAACGGAATCGATAGGCCGCCATGAACTCAAAGCTTTCCAATATAGCGAGAATTCAATGTTCTCCCGAACAAGCTGCTACACACGTCATGCCCGGTCTTATTCAACCCGTAATATTGGAGTGATGGGTCCACATTTATCTCAACGCAGTGAAAAACCAAGAGGCTTTGGGCACCATGAAATTCATGAGAAAACAAACTGAGTGATGTAACATCACCGCTATAATGAAGCTGTGGTGTTCTTACGGGAAGAGTTTTCTAGGATCCCGTGACTGGCAAACAAGCCTAGGATTCTCACTAGGGGAACTACTAACAAAGTTGCTGAAAACCTCCCCAACTGGTTTCGCATTGCCTGAAGCTCATCAGGTAGGAACAGCTCCAGATTTTCCGCCAACCTTATGTTTTACTTTGTGCGGCACATTCAGCTAAAGAATATCATGATAAACGAGCGGTTCCGTTCAGTTTCCCGTGAAAACCCAGTTGATATGAGTGTATTTGTCGAAGCTTAGGATTCCTTAAAAATTAAGCATTGTTGAGTAAGTATGCACAGGTCAGGTCGTCTGGTCAAAACGGAAGGAAGTGAAAGTCAACCCTTCGTTTCTGTTGAAATGGATGGATTACTCTCAACGCTTTAACTTGATCGGATCACACGATGAGACGAATTTCTGCTGGACGCAGGAGCGAATAGTGTTATTACATTCTGAATAGCTGTTTCCAAAACACCTAACACGAACTAACGATGCAAAAGCCCGGTCGATGTTCAATAATTGACACTACCTCACAGCATCATCATTTTAGCTGATGTTCCACAGTAGCCGCGGGATAACTGACGGATCGATCGAAGCCCGAAATCAGCAACTTACCTCATCCATGCACAATTAGTAACTAAACTAAGTTGACACAACAGCATCATTCGTTAGAATGTCAATTACAAACTGACAGTGCTAGGATTAATCAATACCGATTGGCTTGATTATTTTTCGTGCGCAGCTTATGGGATGGAAGGAAGCGTTTATATCAACGGGGCTCCATCTTCCACCTAACATAACATGACTTATGTCCACCAGGTCTAGTTGGATTGACTAGCTCGGTAATCGAGCTAAAGATTAGCTCTGGTACGGTCCACGTAGGCCGCCCAGTCCTTTTTCCAACGTATGCTGTCCTGCACCATGTAAAATAGTTTACCACCATGTTTTGGGCGTGGACTTGCATCCAGCTTTCCGGTTTGAGATGAAACCCTTGGTCAGCAGTTCACGAGGATCACTGAGTCGCTGTTACAAAGGGTTTCTGAATACGGTCAACGATTCCGAAATGAATCTCCTCTCTACCATCATCGTAGCTGGACAAGCAAGTTGCTCTTATGATTACGCATTCAGGAAATCTTGCGACGGTTCTGATTTAGATACCTCGGACGGGCGAATTATGGTGTACTTCGTGAGATGGGTAAACGAGCCGCGCTTGTCTCGCATAATCAGACGTGTGTTAAAGTCCTCACACAAACCGAAAAATCGTCTTGAAGTAGAATTCACCAAATGTAAAGTACACAATGCCCCAATGCGTTGCGCACCAGTGAGTTGGGAAAGAAACTGGCAACCAAGAAACAATGTGAGCGGGAGACACATGACGACACGCCACTTACCCGAACCTCGGTCTTGTTTGAGGCACCAAGCTGGAGGACTAGAGAATGGAACACGCAAATCCCTCCCTATGATAAGGTTACTGGTTGTAGCATAGGTTACAAGATTCGAGTCACCACCACCCACTATTCTCGGCTGGAGAAGACTCAGGTGGGCGGGAAACTGGGAACATGCAGAAGACGCCAAACAGACAACGCGGCTTGGATCCGAGGCGGACAACTGCTCTACCAAGCCATTTGGGTACCCTGTTTCCATGTCGATACGATGCAGTGAGCGGTAGTCAGCTACGGTCACCAGGCTCGAGCCATTTGTCATCCACACGAGTCCCTGAAGAAAGGCAAGTAACAGACAAAAATAGCATCCTGCAATTAGCGCGTAACTACTGAATAAACAGCCTACTTGAGAAGTATCCCGACTTAGCTACTGTGTTTGATAGTACCGGGTCACCTTGACAAGAAACAATCCAACATTTGGGGAATGACCTATTACGACTAGTGCGACCAGGTTTCATCATAGGCCTGCGAAGCAATACCCCACAGCGGGAAAATGCATCGTCAAACAACGTTCGAATCAGAATATACAACTAACTATAAAGGAATAAAATTGACAAAGCATTGTAGCATCGTCCCAAGTCGATCAAGCCAGAAACCACGAAGGGTGCAGATTTCCGCTCTTTCTGGTAACAGTGAAGAGTTTTTTTTAATTTTACAACGAAGACAATGGAACACATGAGGAAAGATAAGTAAAACCCAAGGATGACTACAAATGTGCAAGAAACTCCATCATCTGCTTGATGCACACTTCGAATGATCGTCATGTCTACACGACTTCAGGGTGAAGCAGGTTGTGCGATAACTCTGGCAAACTAGTGGCCATATTGTGGGTACGAACCTAACGGAATGTAAATCACAAAGCTGGTGTTCACGATAATAACAGCGAGTAGCAGTGCCGGTACGATGAGAGACGAAGCTATCATAACTAAGAATGGTCACTAAAATACGAAGTATATACATAAAACAGGCTTGTATCTGACTGATGAGAATTTCCCTCCTGGGAATGGGAATCTTCAAAAGCCTTTTCAGCATCAACATCACCCACAGTGCTTACCAGATACGGGTCAACAAATCTAAAAAAAATCCAAATCACACTTGTGCCTGTTTAGGAGCAGTTCAAACGCCAGCATTCCGTTGCCTGGGACCTATGGATGGCGGCTATGATACATGGTGAGAAGTGAGTGGGCTATATCACTTATTTTCCCTTAGTTGCGCACGGGTAGCTATTCACTCATCTCCGTTTAGTGGGTGGCACCATACAGGTCAGGGGGATCAAAATACATCTCACGGGACATATCGGACAGTAATACTTATTAGTGGAGAGAATGTTTGTACCTCAGGCTGTATACACAGCCATTGGTTTAATCACTGGGTTTTCCAATAGGCGTCGGAATGTTTGCAAACGAATAGCCTTGCGCAAAAGTCGACGCGGTCATTCAAATGTCAAGCGGATGACAACTTGAAAGCATTACGTGTTCGAAAGGGTGTCTGTCCTGACTGCTGATCCTTCGAATTAAGCAGAAATTGAATCAGGTTCAGCCAATGCAGGCTAACAAACGGCAAATATGGATTCGTCGATGCGCCATCTACCCCTAAGGATAAAACGGAGAAAATGGTGCTTACAATGCTACCTCAGTTACTTCAACGGGAAAAAGTAGGCTGGTTGTCTCTTTAGAGTTAATATTTGCTCGGATAGCCCCTGAAATATGAGGACTGGGAGCTTACCCGACAGGATTTAGGTGACTGTTCCTCAGCGAAACAGTTATACGTCCATGACGAGCGAGTGGGTAGTGCATGAATATGCATCAGACCTGCTGGTCTGGAAGCTGTTTGTCTGATGGCTGTATTCTCTGCCATGTTCCTTACTGGTCCCCCAGTAGAGGATAGCTGGTTTAAGTAGCCGTCGGAATCGACCGGCCAGAGTCCACAATTCCACAGTTTGACGGTTCCATCGCCACTGGAACAAGAGGCGAGCAAGCGTCCAGAACCATGTGCTGCTAGGCTGAGAAGATAGAGCAGGGTTCGGGAATATCATTGACACGGAGTATGGGGAAGAACAAAAGGGCGGACAAGACGTTTTTCGTGATCATCCATCAGGTTGGAAAGTCACAGACGTCAATGAAAGCAACTGTTTCAGAGGTACTCAAATTTTGTTCCTGTATACTTACTCTGTCGCACTACTGACACTTCCTAAAGAAGCGTTTGATATTATATTTCAGTTTTACTGACCACTGACAAGGTAGCAAGAAAGTCACTCATGTGGGACAAGAAATCCCCGGCCATATCAATGAAAGAACGAAATAAGACAACTGGAACATAGAAATGTACATCAGTTGGTTGTTACTAAATATGGATACTGCGAGTTGCGAAGTTCAAGCAAAAGCAGAGACTGCAATGCAATGCACCGCACAGCTTACAGATTATTACCACGTCAAGAAACTTGTGTTCACGACCGCCGTTTCATCCCAACAAACTAAATAAATTAGGAGCGGGTGACTTCTAAACAGGGACGGCTGTCTAACCCAAAATGCGCTCGACTGACTTGATTGCTCCATTGCCTGAACAACACTTGGAGATCCAGTGGTTCCAGCTGGTAGAGTCTTGGTCACCAAAAAAGTGGGAAAGCAGAGGAGATAAAGTTAGCAACCTGGGGCGATGATACAATCACGTAATTGATGTTGAAGTGACTTGGTATTAATATACGAGAAATTCGGCAGCCGCACATTGAAGGCAGATGAGTGAAAAGGCAGTTGTCAACCCAACCGAGTGTGATTAGTGCTACCACACTTCTTTGCCAGGTCATAGTGTTCACCATTCAGTCGTCTCCACTCGGCACAGGACTGGGCGAAAAATGTACTGCGAGGTAGCCTATCTTGTAACGCGCGAAGTACATGTCCTACCCAGACTAACGGAGGGTGGGTAGGTCATCTTGGAGAGAGTCCCTTCCAAAAATTGACATACATCAGCACAGCTAACTTGATGTCCTTAGAAAACATCACCATTCTTCGGAGATACCGATGGTCGAATGAAGGGTTTCCGCAGATCCTCTAAGCGTAGAGGATGTAGGGCTGCTCCTAACCCATTAGACTACGGAACGCATCGTCCCGATAGGTACTTTGTTCTTGACAGACAAACTGATGTGGTGCCAGCGCCACACTCTCCGAATGTTGGTTGAAATGCAACCGTTATCAGTTTCCAAATGTGTTATCTCAAAGGAGCTGTTTACCAGCTGAAGGCTCTCTGGAACAACGGGCGCACGACAGTGATGATAGAATGGAACTATGATGTAAAGACGGTTCCACGCAAGACCACCAAACAGGACTAACCTGATAAGACCGGGTCGGTGCTCTTGCAGATGTGCGACTAACATGCCCTGAAGTTGTACGTCAGAACGACCAGTGTTCTCTACGCCATAACGTTTGTCCATCGACGTAGGAACACTTGTTGAATGGTTTAGATGATTCCCCAAGCGGGTGATTGATCCGTCCATGAAATCGGTTGATTCGGGTTGTCCGCCACCGCTACCACCACCACCTCCACTGGGAGTTGCTGAAGTCCAAACCAATCTGGTCCACCTTTGGTCATTACCTGTTGAACGACAAACGCTCAGAGGGATACGACCGGAGAACAAATCCCGCCGTAACAAACGCTCGTAGTTGCTTATGGGTGGTTGCAGAGAACTGTGAACAAGAAATGTGAAAGAAAACAAGTAATCCCAAAAGTGCTCTGCAAACGGAAGGTGGATAAAACACTAGGACGAAAACGCCGCAAGGTACAACCAGAATCAGAACAGCACTTTAATCCATCAACCTCATATGCAAACGGACGAAGAATGGGACCACCTAGGCTGAGGTTACACCTATGCTTTGGGCACGGCATGGAATTAACAAATATATGGGGTGCAGGCCGATTGCCGCATCAAAAGCATTTCCTTTCCAAACGGAAACAGAATTAAACTTATACAGAAGGTTATTTCGGCCACCGTGTGGTGACCCCAACGGGTGGGAGGCGGACATAATATGTATTTCATCAGAAGACTACAACGACAGGAATTCCAGGCTGAAAACATTTCCCAATCGCATAAAGTCACGTGACTCACACTGCTAGCTGACGCAAATATGAAGGGAAGTCAGGCATGCGAAGTGGATCTTCCGGAAAGACAACTTTGGGCGTTTCTGCAAGTAAAAGAAAAAGGAGATGTTTGCAACAGACTGTTCGATAGCTCATGTATACAGTAGGAACAGCGCTAAGCAGGAGCGAGTGAATTTGAAAGTTTAAGGCCTTACATACCAGCATCTATAGGAGGTAGAACGCCGTCAAGCAGGAACGAGAACTTCGAAACTTACATAATGGCGACATTAATGCGATTGAGCAGCATTTTGCGAGCACAAGTCCATCGTGTTACCGATGACCAAATAGGGAAATTGATAAGTTTGCCCACTGGGTATCGGCTCCACTAGGTAGATTTACTTGTGGTACTGTGGGTAAGGATGACCTGGCGTCAGGTACCCTATGTGTCGCCTGGTCGACCAATCAGATTGCACGTGAGCCTAGTCAACGAACAGTAGGCGATACCTTATTCCGAACGACGTGATGTTCAATTATTCCTGGGGATCTGTCTTTGGAGGCGGCGGCCAGCCGGAGTCGCGGAGAATTGACATTTTCAAAGGCTCTGTTCAGTACGTTATCAGAGAGAGAGATTTGTCTGACTCGGTCATCCGAGTGAGTGACTCAAGTGCTTGTGACAGTCTAGTGCTAGGCCTCTACCCACGTCTTATCTTCCTTCATTTTATTGTAAGCCTTTATCTGAATGAGCTGACATGACAGTGAATTGCCAGTATTTTCCACCCATGAGGCTGTCAATGATGGTTATGACAACTGTGCTCTGATGCCTATTTCAGTTTTAAATGACGAGCTCCCCAGTCAGTATGAGATGCTTTCAGGACTATCGCGGATAGCGGCCACTGACAGCCAACAGCAAACACTTATTGCTGGTTTATTTGAGGGAGTCATGGAGACACTATTACATGTGACTGTAGTGGGCTATGCCTTCACTTCTAAGTCGCAACGTGAACATTATTTTGGAGCCAAAGCCTGTTTGAAAATCTGGGCGTCGCCATTTCGTAGTAGATATTCAAACGACGTCGTCTTTGAGGGAACAGAGGTAGGTTTAGTAAGCTGTGGCGAGTCTTCCCAAGAATCATACAATTCGTCGATGGGACCAGGTAGTAAGAAACCCAGATTCTCAGGATGTTCCGCATCGTGATGTAGACTTTGCTCGGCGGTGGGTTTCTTGGGAAACAAGTAACACCGTTTGTTACACCACACGAAATGATCCATGCAACCTGCTACCTTGTAAGCTCTGTTGAGGAGGTCCCATTCGTTGCCGTCGCGTGACCGAGGTCTTTCAATAAAGTGAGGAGACAGAATCAGATGCCGGGAGATACATCCTCGCTAACCATCCACTGATTGTCCGTCCAGTAGAGTTGGTTAAATCCCCATTCGGAACCTAACAACAGTGATAATATGAGTCAGTTGTGGCAGAGAGGGTGGATGCAATAACTTTCGGAGCCCAACAGCCACGACGGTAGCGCTTTCCTATTGCTGTCGGTAAATTTGCTGCAGTGATAAGGTCCTTTATGAATAATGGGTGCCTCAAGCATGTGCGAACAATTAGACTATCTCATATAGGAAAATCAAGGTGGAACGGTGAAAAATGGGTGTTGTTGTCTCATGGATCACCACGGTTGTGTTTGTGCCATAACGGGAAATCTTTCCACGCGCGGAACCTTAATTATCAAGCTGAGGACAGGCCTCGAATAGTTAGAAAGTGCATGACAGTGTCGCCCTTTTTGAGCTACTAATCTCTAGTAGTCCGTCTCTCTATCATACATAGCTTTCAAATATGAAGGCCGTAAAATTCCCCGCTACAGGTGATGCGGTTCGCCAGAGATCAATTTCATTGTACGTCTTTTTTTTACCCAAAGCTTCAGTCGTAAGAAATCCGGGAATAGAAGGACTCTCGTGTTGCAAGAGAGACACCTAGGAACGTAAGAAAGCAATGGAACCTGCTTACTTGAGGGCAACAAGGCTGACGATATGATATGTTGTGTGTCTATAACTCGAGTGCGACACTTGGGTGGGGCCTTCGGTGGTTGTTTGTGGCCACCACGAACGGGGGCTGCGGCCCAAGTACATTCATTACCAGCCTCGCATAGTACTTTCACAAGTGGTGCCAACAAGAGGATTTGCGATTCCATCAGGTCGGTTAGACCCTGCCATTGCAATGTGGCCAGAAGCGAAGCGACCACTTCATCCTGAGGAAAGAGTTGAGAGAGACAACCATTATTAGCATGAAAGAATAGCAAACATTTCGTGTCGCATCATGTATAAAAAGCATATTGGTGCGTGAGCTACCAGACTCGGAGACTTCGGGTTTACAATGTAGTTCTTTTGATGCAGCAGAAAGAGCACTACGTTTCAACCGAATTCGAGAACGACAAACGTCGTATGGCAGAGCAACTCGATCCAATTGGTTGAGGGTTCGTTAACAGCACTCCTAAATTGAGACATCCCGAACCAGTATCTCACAAATTGATACCGATTTCCGTATCAGCGCCACACGCAGTAAACATTCACGTGTCTGACCGATGCTTAAAGGCGGTAATCCATTCGGTTTTGGAGCAATAGACGTGACACCATTGTGTACGTAGCGCATCGGCATACTCTAAGGGTTCCCGTTTTTCGCCGTCAATAATGACGCAGATCCATCGCCGACTTCGGATGATAAATGCGATCCAGGGTGAACGATATTCACCGTGAAGAGGTATGGGCATGAGGAGTGAGCTAAAATTCTCACCTGAGATGATTGCCAAGTCGATTACAGCAAAAAATGGGCTAAATCGATGTGAAATAACACGGAAAAATACTACGGACTGGAACCACGAGACTCAATGATGACCAATGACTAGTCACGATTGTGATAAGCAACCTGACCAAACCATCAGCTAGACGTATCGTGCTTAGATTTAAAACGAGTAGTTACTTGATCCATGGGCCCGCCAGCTGAAGCTAGACGCGTGGAGATCAGAGCAAAACTTCATCCCCTTGGTGCGATTCCACGGGGCTACAACCACTGACTGAGTGAGAAACGCGCACTACAAGTTACAAAAAATATGGGACCAGATAGGTTTTCAGACTAAAACTTACGTCTGGTGAAGTGTAGCACGGTGTCTCATTGGAGCGTGTGATTGACCTCGAGGTTTCGCGCTCCTTGAGCACTTTGAAAAAACGATCCAACAATTGATGAACGTGTTGTGCTCTCTGTGGTCCCGAATTACACGTGGAACTGGCATTTGTGACAAAGGATACCAACGAGTCAAGAATGGTGCGGCTGATGGACGGTTGGAGACTGGTAAGAAGGACGGCGTCACTGGTGAAACATCGCCGAACAGAACGACTAAACGAAACGAAAAGGAAGAAGCAAAGTGGCAGAGGAGACAATGAACTGATGCAGTCACATAGGGCAGAGGAACTCATTCTCCTTGTTTGATTCACTCGCTGCTCGGTTGTACCCTTTCTTAAGGCGATTGGGTACAACTCGCGCGCAATTATCTGGTCCGGTGGCAACGAGGTCCGTTGCCTATGACTCGCCTAAAAAAACAGCGGGGACCGACAGTTGCGAAAGGTTGTGCGCTACACAAATCACTCGGCCTCCAGAAGAACTCGCGCGCAACTGGTCCGGTGGCAACGAGGTCCGTTGCCTATGACTCGCCTCAAAAAACAGCGGGGACAGACAGTTGCGAAAGGTTGTGCGTGCGCCAAATCACTCGGCCTCCAGAAGAACTACAACTACAGTGAACAACTACAGTGAACACTCATCATTTATGTGTGTCGGAATGCTTTATTAAAACCGTAAACATCGAACCACCTCAGAGGCTCCTTCACTGCGTGGTTCCCACTCGCTACTCCTAACTAATCACACTGCTAGCTGACGCAAATATGAAGGGAAGTCAGGCATGCGAAGTGGATCTTCCGGAAAGACAACTTTGGGCGTTTCTGCAAGTAAAAGAAAAAGGAGATGTTTGCAACAGACTGTTCGATAGCTCATGTATACAGTAGGAACAGCGCTAAGCAGGAGCGAGTGAATTTGAAAGTTTAAGGCCTTACATACCAGCATCTATAGGAGGTAGAACGCCGTCAAGCAGGAACGAGAACTTCGAAACTTACATAATGGCGACATTAATGCGATTGAGCAGCATTTTGCGAGCACAAGTCCATCGTGTTACCGATGACCAAATAGGGAAATTGATAAGTTTGCCCACTGGGTATCGGCTCCACTAGGTAGATTTACTTGTGGTACTGTGGGTAAGGATGACCTGGCGTCAGGTACCCTATGTGTCGCCTGGTCGACCAATCAGATTGCACGTGAGCCTAGTCAACGAACAGTAGGCGATACCTTATTCCGAACGACGTGATGTTCAATTATTCCTGGGGATCTGTCTTTGGAGGCGGCGGCCAGCCGGAGTCGCGGAGAATTGACATTTTCAAAGGCTCTGTTCAGTACGTTATCAGAGAGAGAGATTTGTCTGACTCGGTCATCCGAGTGAGTGACTCAAGTGCTTGTGACAGTCTAGTGCTAGGCCTCTACCCACGTCTTATCTTCCTTCATTTTATTGTAAGCCTTTATCTGAATGAGCTGACATGACAGTGAATTGCCAGTATTTTCCACCCATGAGGCTGTCAATGATGGTTATGACAACTGTGCTCTGATGCCTATTTCAGTTTTAAATGACGAGCTCCCCAGTCAGTATGAGATGCTTTCAGGACTATCGCGGATAGCGGCCACTGACAGCCAACAGCAAACACTTATTGCTGGTTTATTTGAGGGAGTCATGGAGACACTATTACATGTGACTGTAGTGGGCTATGCCTTCACTTGTAAGTCGCAACGTGAACATTATTTTGGAGCCAAAGCCTGTTTGAAAATCTGGGCGTCGCCATTTCGTAGTAGATATTCAAACGACGTCGTCTTTGAGGGAACAGAGGTAGGTTTAGTAAGCTGTGGCGAGTCTTCCCAAGAATCATACAATTCGTCGATGGGACCAGGTAGTAAGAAACCCAGATTCTCAGGATGTTCCGCATCGTGATGTAGACTTTGCTCGGCGGTGGGTTTCTTGGGAAACAAGTAACACCGTTTGTTACACCACACGAAATGATCCATGCAACCTGCTACCTTGTAAGCTCTGTTGAGGAGGTCCCATTCGTTGCCGTCGCGTGACCGAGGTCTTTCAATAAAGTGAGGAGACAGAATCAGATGCCGGGAGATACATCCTCGCTAACCATCCACTGATTGTCCGTCCAGTAGAGTTGGTTAAATCCCCATTCGGAACCTAACAACAGTGATAATATGAGTCAGTTGTGGCAGAGAGGGTGGATGCAATAACTTTCGGAGCCCAACAGCCACGACGGTAGCGCTTTCCTATTGCTGTCGGTAAATTTGCTGCAGTGATAAGGTCCTTTATGAATAATGGGTGCCTCAAGCATGTGCGAACAATTAGACTATCTCATATAGGAAAATCAAGGTGGAACGGTGAAAAATGGGTGTTGTTGTCTCATGGATCACCACGGTTGTGTTTGTGCCATAACGGGAAATCTTTCCACGCGCGGAACCTTAATTATCAAGCTGAGGACAGGCCTCGAATAGTTAGAAAGTGCATGACAGTGTCGCCCTTTTTGAGCTACTAATCTCTAGTAGTCCGTCTCTCTATCATACATAGCTTTCAAATATGAAGGCCGTAAAATTCCCCGCTACAGGTGATGCGGTTCGCCAGAGATCAATTTCATTGTACGTCTTTTTTTTACCCAAAGCTTCAGTCGTAAGAAATCCGGGAATAGAAGGACTCTCGTGTTGCAAGAGAGACACCTAGGAACGTAAGAAAGCAATGGAACCTGCTTACTTGAGGGCAACAAGGCTGACGATATGATATGTTGTGTGTCTATAACTCGAGTGCGACACTTGGGTGGGGCCTTCGGTGGTTGTTTGTGGCCACCACGAACGGGGGCTGCGGCCCAAGTACATTCATTACCAGCCTCGCATAGTACTTTCACAAGTGGTGCCAACAAGAGGATTTGCGATTCCATCAGGTCGGTTAGACCCTGCCATTGCAATGTGGCCAGAAGCGAAGCGACCACTTCATCCTGAGGAAAGAGTTGAGAGAGACAACCATTATTAGCATGAAAGAATAGCAAACATTTCGTGTCGCATCATGTATAAAAAGCATATTGGTGCGTGAGCTACCAGACTCGGAGACTTCGGGTTTACAATGTAGTTCTTTTGATGCAGCAGAAAGAGCACTACGTTTCAACCGAATTCGAGAACGACAAACGTCGTATGGCAGAGCAACTCGATCCAATTGGTTGAGGGTTCGTTAACAGCACTCCTAAATTGAGACATCCCGAACCAGTATCTCACAAATTGATACCGATTTCCGTATCAGCGCCACACGCAGTAAACATTCACGTGTCTGACCGATGCTTAAAGGCGGTAATCCATTCGGTTTTGGAGCAATAGACGTGACACCATTGTGTACGTAGCGCATCGGCATACTCTAAGGGTTCCCGTTTTTCGCCGTCAATAATGACGCAGATCCATCGCCGACTTCGGATGATAAATGCGATCCAGGGTGAACGATATTCACCGTGAAGAGGTATGGGCATGAGGAGTGAGCTAAAATTCTCACCTGAGATGATTGCCAAGTCGATTACAGCAAAAAATGGGCTAAATCGATGTGAAATAACACGGAAAAATACTACGGACTGGAACCACGAGACTCAATGATGACCAATGACTAGTCACGATTGTGATAAGCAACCTGACCAAACCATCAGCTAGACGTATCGTGCTTAGATTTAAAACGAGTAGTTACTTGATCCATGGGCCCGCCAGCTGAAGCTAGACGCGTGGAGATCAGAGCAAAACTTCATCCCCTTGGTGCGATTCCACGGGGCTACAACCACTGACTGAGTGAGAAACGCGCACTACAAGTTACAAAAAATATGGGACCAGATAGGTTTTCAGACTAAAACTTACGTCTGGTGAAGTGTAGCACGGTGTCTCATTGGAGCGTGTGATTGACCTCGAGGTTTCGCGCTCCTTGAGCACTTTGAAAAAACGATCCAACAATTGATGAACGTGTTGTGCTCTCTGTGGTCCCGAATTACACGTGGAACTGGCATTTGTGACAAAGGATACCAACGAGTCAAGAATGGTGCGGCTGATGGACGGTTGGAGACTGGTAAGAAGGACGGCGTCACTGGTGAAACATCGCCGAACAGAACGACTAAACGAAACGAAAAGGAAGAAGCAAAGTGGCAGAGGAGACAATGAACTGATGCAGTCACATAGGGCAGAGGAACTCATTCTCCTTGTTTGATTCACTCGCTGCTCGGTTGTACCCTTTCTTAAGGCGATTGGGTACAACTCGCGCGCAGTTATCTGGTCCGGTGGCAACGAGGTCCGTTGCCTATGACTCGCCTAAAAAAACAGCGGGGACCGACAGTTGCGAAAGGTTGTGCGCTACACAAATCACTCGGCCTCCAGAAGAACTACAACTACAGTGAACAACTACAGTGAACACTCATCATTTATGTGTGTCGGAATGCTTTATTAAAACCGTAAACATCGAACCACCTCAGAGGCTCCTTCACTGCGTGGTTCCCACTCGCTACTCCTAACTAACCATGGGGAAAACTGACTGCAGTTCAGTCATCGCGATTCCTTCAGGCTGCCTAAAGGATGGTTGATAGCCTGTTCACTTCCAGTTGGGCGCCGATTTTCTCATGCTAGCGGTAGTTTGTGATGCACATTCACCCAAGTTAGAACCTATGGGGCCCTTTCGAGACGCCGCTATCTTGTTCGATGCACTTTAAGTTGGAACAGAGTCTTGGGTATAAAGTAGTAAGGATGATGTTACTTCTGAAAAGTAATCTACATCAGGTTTCATCCCCATTTGAAGCCACTACGTCAGTGCAAAAAGACAGTTTGCGTCCTCTTCGTCGATAGATTTCACCATTTAGCACAGCATCAAGCCGTCAGTAGCCAGGGGGATATGTTACCGATCCGGTCATGTCTACCTGGTTAGTTCCAATCTCACATAAAGCGTAGTGGATTGCCCAGCTGCCCTTCTTCAAAGTCCCGCATTAGTTAGCAGCTAAAATTTGCACAGACCGGACCTTACCACTTAGGAGTGACTGCAAAATCCTGTAACTGGCTGGACGATGGTCTGGGGAAGATGAGGAACCACTTTTCCTGGTTTTCTATCAAATACACTTACTTTCCCATTCCGTCATTTTTTTACGGGATAACGTCAATTTGTGCACTATGCGTCTGCAATTTATTCTTCTGGAATGGATTTAGGCACAATTAAACGTGAAGCATACAAATCTGGCTGAGTCGATTACCAGAAACGTTCTCCACTTCCACAGGAAATCCAGACCGAATAACGCCACCCCGACTTGAGGAACAGACGCACAAAAACACATTTTGAAACGATGCGGTACATGTACACCGTAAGAAGCGCGAATAAGAAAGACATTTTCGGCATCACGGGCGAATGGGCACCCAAATGAAGATGGGAGTTATCCAAACAAACTCAGCGAGATTGACCTGTACGGGAAGTTCTGCGTAGGGCAAAACTGACTGGAAATGCCGTTTAACTATTGGTCTGGTCACAACATCCACTGCTCAGACTTGGTCGCATGAATATCGGCGTCCATCACATAAAAATAGGAGCGGTGATTTCACGTCGTTGTACACAAAGTTTTTATTTGGGATCTGGAATACTCAAGCATGATGTGGTCTCTGCGAAAGTGGTGCCCCCGTTTTGAGCGACCTGCACTTGTGAGGGCCACGACCGTTTACTAAGTGTTTAGTAACCACAACCACTAACCCACCGCTACGCACAACTACGCACTGATGATGTCACCTCGATTGGTGATGAAACGTTTGCAACCAAATTGCCCAGCTCAGCGAACAAGCCAACGACCATGTACGCCACCTGAGCTACCGACAGATGAAACGTTGCAACCAAATTGCCCAGCTCAGCGAACAAGCCAACGACCAAGTGTTTAGTAATCCTAGTGTATCGAAAATCGCTTTGAGCAGCTTTCTGGAAACCGACCGCAGTACACTTAATCCGTTGAATTCCTCTCTTTGTGTAGAGACAACATATGCGTTCTTGAGGATGACACCTGTTACATAACGTCTGTTCTGCTAACAGACAGCATACAATACCTGCACTGCAAGCTAGCGATAGTGACTGATATGGGAGAGAGAGGGAAACCAGGGCAGCAATACAGGTTCCGAGAACGCAGCGTTGTGGCATACGTTGGTTACATATGATGGACAAATCCCCAGTCTATATATTTGAATGTTTCTGAATAGCGAAAAAATAAGGGGAAACTAACCGGAAAAATATCTTGGAGGTTTCCGCGTTCGCCAACCGGGCATAAACACTAGCTGGTGTGCACATTCTGGTCCACATTAGCGGTTCCCGTTCAGAGGCCCTACCACGCTTTTCAACACGGCGAGCACTTATGGTACCGTTGGCGCCAGTGTTGGCTTCTGTATTGGTTGTCGCGAGACGTGCAAACGTGGCTATATAACCAACTGCGCTCTGCCGGATACGTCGTGTTGGGTGGGTGGTCAGAGCCAAACATCGGGTAAGAAAGCTGACCGCCACGGGAGGACTGAGGAGTTGTCGTCGAAGAAGCTGGGTAAGCGAGTGTAGACAGGCTTCCACAACCGTTTCGTTTGGATCAATCAAACCCTGTTCGAGGAGCGGTCGAACCACACTGACTGACTGGACACCGATCCCGGTGACCAAAGGGACAATCTGCCGGTAGAATGATGTTCGAAGTCCATGGTCGGTCTGAAAAGGTCAAACGTACGCAAACCACATGATTCAATAGATTGGTAGAAGGAAATACACCAAGGGTGTGGTGAAAAACGAAATTGTGGGGCTCGGCAGGAACGACTTCCGTACTCAAAAACAAAACAAACGATCAATACATTCACAGTAAACCCGCTCCACGAAGACCATCTCACTGAAAGTCCTGTTGACGCTTCCGACGTAATCATCATAACCGAAGTGGACCTCCACCTTATGAGTAGTGTATTACTAAATACTTGTCGTCTGCCACTATACAGTAATCCTTCTTATGAAAAGTTCTTCTGAAACAGGGTTCATGACACTATTCACTGCAACGTGCCAACTGAACTCCTGGGTAGGCCTTGATCTCATGGTAGTCTCTCCTTGGTTGAGAAAGGACTGAGTGCGTACAGCCTGCAAGCTAGTTGCTTTATACAATAATGCAGCTTGATCATAGTCTTTTATCACAGCCTCTGTGATGGTAGCAACTTAAGCTGAAAAGACAACCCTTAGTTCCCTCCAGAAGAACTGAAGCAATCTTAGCGAAGGGCTGATAATGCATAGAGAGAGGACTAGTGGTCTCCTCTAAAGGTGGCCCCTTCGGTCAGTGAATACAGAGCTACTTATCAGAACCAGCCTACGAGTCGTCAACCACCGCTCCACACGAGTGACACACCTTATCGTTCAGGAACGTTATCATATGGGATAGTAAGGTCCCGCTGATGTGCTCTGGACCAAAGAATGCGGCCAGCCAGCCGAAACTGCCGGTGTTCACCAGGGCATGCCGGATTTGGCGATCGAGATCAGCGAATCTATCCTGAATATGTGCACGCAGTAGCGACAGATGGGCGTCATAGGTGTTCATAGCCGTTTCCAGTATGGCAAGCTGATTGGTGGACGGAGATTTCTGGGGCTAGGAGAGAAAAAAGAGACAGGGGAGAATGACGGCTTGTCATAGCAGTGAACGAAAGGACACGATATCCCCAAACGGGCATGCCGGATTTGGCGATCGAGATCAGCGAATCTATCCTGAATATGTGCACGCAGTAGCGACAGATGGGCGTCATAGGTGTTCATAGCCGTTTCCAGTATGGCAAGCTGATTGGTGGACGGAGATTTCTGGGGCTAGGAGAGAAAAAAGAGACAGGGGAGAATGACGGCTTGTCATAGCAGTGAACGAAAGGACACGATATCCCCAAACAGCAGCGCACAGAAATACGCCGCTTCAAGGCCCGAAACATCAGCTGCAAGCATATCAGAGGCGACACACTGAGGACAGCATACGAATAATCCCGCATCACGAACTGATGCCTTATTCGGTATTAAACCAGTAGGTAGTAAGTGATGCTGCATAAGATACCTTCAAGTGCATACCTGCATATGGCCACCGGCAGGTCAAACACTCCAGGGTACTTGAGCCAAGACAGAATCCCTGGTCTTCATGATACTCATCAAACTGCCTGGCAGGTTAAATCACCAACCGAGGAGGTTAGATAAAACCCTAAATAAGTGTGCTTAGAACCCTTTATCCCAGGTCCACCTCCATTTCGTTCTTTTGAAATCTCCTGAAATCTGATATATTACCAGAAAAAACCTCGTGTAACAATACCATATGATAAATCCTTCGGAAACGGGTGCACACGACAGCATTCTCCGTCGATCACACACTAGAATGTAGTCCATCCGAGAGGCGATATTAGCACCACACCCTATCTCCTACACTACTACTTCCGAAATCAGAAAAGCACAAAAACTTGTTTCCAAAAGAGTGATGTTATTCCCCCAAAATGCTACAGAAAAACTCTTGCCTGGTTTAAGGGAAACATTACAGTACTGAAGGATATGCCGTCACGAAGAGACTGGACATGCCTGGTTTAGGGAAACATTACAGTACTGAAGGATATGCCGTCACGAAGAGACTGGACATCACCGTGGTGTGACGGTTTGCGCACCTCAACGGTCCACTGAGCTATACTCACAAAGTCTCTCATACCAGGTTGGTCAATGGTTAGAGGTCTGACGAACACAGTCTCCTGGCCCTCCAGGTTGGGGGTTGGAACATGTGGCGACTTGTTCCGTAGAAATGGTAATGCATTTGCATTTCCCGCCAAACACCGCTGCCTTGCGGTTAGGCTTTTGAGCAAAAGGCTTCGGCTGAGGACCCTAATCATCCTCCTGTCTAGGTGTGGGCAGTATCCCAGCCCATGTACAACCATGAATCGCACATACACAAATAAACTCATGCCACATCGGCCGTCGCGTGGTGCCATCAGCCGGGTCG